GCTGCTACAGTCTCACCAGCACAAGGTGGGTCATGGTATTAGGTGGGTCAGTGCTGCTACAGTCTCACCAGCACAAGGCGAGTCTTTTGATATCCTAGATAGTTTCAGGATACTTGGGCTTAAATTTCAATCTCCCCGCGTTGATATCCAGCCTTATTTGTACCTCAGTATTGCAATTTTGCGTGGCTTGCAGTTTCTGTATTTTGTCACGCTCTCAATTAGGTTCTTAATAATAAACACGATAAATTCAGTGTTGATTGTGACGCTCGATGTTTATGTTGTTATGGTAAGTTGGCATTCAATAGAATATACAGTACTAAGGACTGTCAATGTTTATATATTGATTTATAGTAGCGTTATATTAGTACAGTATATATGCGTTGACGTACAAATACAAACCATATACAAAATACATTCGTTACTTTGTACAAAACTGAATGTTTAGCAAAAGTCATTGACCTGAAAGCTCTATCGCGTCGCAGGAGCACCTTTACTCTCGAAATGTCTGCTTCTTTCATAATTAATAATTATACTGATCTACCTGAGTGGTATGAGGGGCACATTTTATCTAAAAAGCTTATAGTAAAGTTGAAAAAAGTAAGTTTAGGAATTGAAATGAAATAAGATGTATAAATTCAACTTCAGTGTAAAAATACGGCAATTCAGTGCTGTTCAGTGCTGTTGTTGAGTGCTGTTGTTGAGTGCTGTTAGTGAGTGCTGTTGTTGAGTGCAGTTGTTGAGTGCAGTTGTTGAGTGCAGTTGTTGAGTGCTGTTATTGAGTGCTGTTGTTGAGTGCTGTTGTTGAGTGCTGTTGTTGAGTGCTGTTGTCCAGTGCTGTTGGTCAGTGCTGTTGTTCACCCATGTACCTCTCTTACAGGTAGTGTACCTGAGCGCCTCGTCGTCCCTGACGACACACCCTCGCCCCCTAAGCTTCTCGTCCCTGCGTCGTCCAGACGTGCTCATCGTGTCGTCCCTCATCCACCGTCCCGCGTCCAACCTCGACCTCATGATGGGCGACCTAGCTGTGCGGCTCTGCCGTACACGCCCTCCGCAACAACGGTTACTCCAACTCATGAATATTATAAAGAGAGTAGTTTATTTATCAGTGTATTCATAAATATTTATCATATATATGGGAAATCTTCCATGATGTGACTTAGATGTGACGTAAATAAAGCACTAAATATTATGGGGATAATATTTTAGTTATCTGTAGAATTATAAATATTTATCATATTCATGAGAAATCTTAAATGATGTGACTTAAATGTGACTTTAATAAACTGCTAAAGCATTATGGGGATATTCTGTATTATTAGTTATCATGGTTCGAATGTGTTGATGTATAAATGTACTAATGTAGAAGTAGATTTAAAAATTTAGATTATCACCAGCTACACAACTGTTATTAAATATATCATTTCTTTAAATGTTATAAAGTTTTTGTATATATAACTTTTTGTGGCTATGAAAAAACATTCCTATCGCTGCATTGTAAAATTTGCAATGAATTTCTTTACGTCATCTTGCTACTGATTATACTGAGTTGAATTAACAATAACTAGAAGTATGTCGTTAGCAGAGTAATGTTTCGTACGACTGTAGAAGGTACGTATCTAATACACATCAATGGTATCATGATCTGTACAAAAATGATTTAGTTTCCCCGAAGCCATTGATTCGGTAGAGGCGGATAATAGTCTCACTTCTGTTGGCGCTTTTATTTCCAAACTCAAACCTGAAATTAACACGAGTTACTATACTAATTATTATAAATGAATGTTATATTAACTATTATTATTGCGCACAATCATTCAATGAAGCGTACCTCAGATGAACGGTTTGGGTGCCTATCGAGTCGGCAGGGTTTTCGTGTGTCCTGAATTACACGCGCCTTGCACAATATGTTACTGCCAGTGCACAATTGATTATTCACATGATGTACTATGATTTTTCCTATTTTTTTTCATAAATTTGTTCATTTCATTGGGCTGGTATACTTGAGTGTTGTATGGTATTGCAGGCTGCGTGCTGGTGCCATGCTACACCAGCAATATGGTGTACAGAGTAATGGAGGTGGTCGACAATGCAGGAAGTGCGATGAGATCTGAGCGAATAGAGGTATTGATCAAAGCGGCTTACGGTGGTTGGCAAGAGGGCTCGTGAGCATTATTTCGATTTGTTAACTTGTTTTTCGGGGTTTTAAAGGTAAATTCATGGTTTTAAGGAAGCATACACTTGCCCTCGACCTCGCACGGCAGCGTGAAGCGGATGCATGCAGAGTAGGACGTGAACCAGCTGGAGCTGTAGCTCCTCGCGCCATCTTTTTTCTATAGGAACTAAATCTATATTTTACTACTGCATCGACAAGTTTAGGTCTCTTTTTATGGACATTTTCTCTAGCGTTGCCTTGCTGATCACAGTCCTCTCGGCCAATCAGAGCTTCCCTCTCAAGCACCTTTGGAAGAATATTGTCTTCTTGTTGTTATTGTTGCCGTCTTCAGTTGCAATGCAGAAACTCGAGGCGAATAAAAGATACAATTATTTTACTGTTTTCATTCATCCCTTTTCGATCTAGATTGAATGAACCAGGAAGTCAATGTCGGCAAGTAGGCTTGTAGATGTCCATGTGGAGCCAGCTTTTTATTGCACAGCTCCTAGCTCCAGCAGCAGCCATGCACCTGCTAAGGCTCAACAGAATCCAATAAGGAGCCACAGGCATCGTACTTTTGTCACTGCGCTGCACTCCTAATTACAGACCTAATTTCCGAGGACAAATTCCGTGCTGGTTACTCAGATGGCGGTGGTAGCTACTTTCATGATTTTTTGGGGTAAATGTTTGGGGCGACAAAGTCAGAGTGCAGCAATGTCGTGATTTTAAATAACTAACAGTTTAGAAACCCGGCTTAGGACTAAAAAACAACATATACAGCATTCGAGTCGGGTTCGAATTTTGTGGAAATGACCTCACGTTTGTAACGAAGAAACTGGGTGGTAAGAACGGCAACTTTGAGCAGTGGGTTGCTGGTTCGAGTCCCAGCTAGCTGTTAAAATTCTCAAAGTCTAGAACCAGCGACATGCCAAACTTGATTCTTTTCTCTAAAGCCAACGCTTTAATGGGCAGGGTGGCCCAGTGGTTACAGTTCAGAGTACCATGATTGGCGCAGAGAGGTGGGGGTTCGATCCCAGCTACCTGTGACAGTTTCTGGTCGGAATCGGCGAGGAGGCCGGGCGGTTAAGCACAGCAGAATTGAAGCAGTGAGTTGCGAATTCGAGACCGCAACAAGCTGCGAATGTTCTGCGTTGTTAAGAATCGGCGACAGGCCTACGGCCTACTAAACGCTGAAACCGCTTTTATTATTTTATTATAACGCCAATGTATTATTTTGCGGAATTTTACTACACCATCCAATTTGTAATTTTTATTAAACAACTCAGACTTCAGTGCAGAAGGAGGGCCTCAGACTTCAGTACAGATTCAGTTCAGACTTCCGGGATTCCTGTGGAATCCCGGTGATCATGTGGCATGGAACCGAATAATTTTTGAACATGTAAACTCTGAAACTTTATTGACTTCCACATGAGAGTTTCCAACTTCTAATAAACGAATTAAAAATGATTGTTAATAGCAAAATATTGCTTGGAAAGCCAATACGTATCCTTTAAAATTGCGTTCGTGTGGCAGTCAATTGAAATATCAATTTGTTTCAGTTATATAAGCTGGTCATAATCCAAACCATTGATTAGGGAATTGAATTTCGCACGCTGCCATGCTAACTTCTTTTAAGCTGAGGTAATAAGTGCGTCCCATGCAGAGCTAGATTGACTTATAACCGCATAAAATAATTTCAAATTCAACTTAATTCGAGGCAATCGATTTATGGTTGCAACCGTATAGCATGCCAAAGACGGAGAACTAATTTTCACTTTATCCAATTTCACTTCTTTATCATAGACAGAAATCGAATATTCATATATTATCTACTAAATTAATTGTATCTATAGCCTCAAATTCCTGGTCTGGAAACGAATCATATCAAAATTTTAAAATTAAATGAAGTCAGTTATAAATGACTGGAAACATATACCTGACAAAACCAGCATCACGGACTGAGGTAGGAGAAAGGTCATCAGTCTGTAGCCTAATGCAAGCGCTGTCTGTGCGGGTGAACCAAAGATTTGACTACGATGACAACCACAAATTTGGCTTCCTCAAACTTAGGGTGACTCTTGCACCCTTGCATTTCTGCTGCCGTTGCGCGTGTGGTAATTATTTTCCTATCTAGATGCACGAGAAGATGACGAGAAAATGCATAATTTCACATTGGAATCGGTGATCAGATTGCCATTCATGTCACTTCATTCAACTTGAGATCATAAACTGGCTGTTATGTTTTCATAGTGAAGAAAGAAAACTTCCGAGAGATATTTATTTCATAAAGAATTATGGAGTAAGTGGATACTAGCACTAGAATGAATAAATTTTTCTTGGATTGAGAGATGAATAATGACTCGATTCAGAATCATCAATAATTATTTGAATAGTCAATTGAATTTAATTCGCAACAGAAGTAATTTCTACAATTTTTTGAGGTTGTGTATTACATTTTCACATACAAGAATTATGATGCGCTTGACAATGGATACACGGAATTATGGGAAATCAGACTTTCTATGAGTTCTCTTGATTACATCCTGATTACTCACGTAATCAACCACCATGAATTGCAACCTAAAATCTAGATATAACATTCAATTGTACAGAAAGTCTATCAGTCTGAAAAAGCTGGTCGCAGCAAACTTTTTACTGTCCTAGTATCTACTTTCCAAATTACCGACTATTAATTGTTGATAAAAAATTGATTTGGCGTTACTTCTATTTTTGATGCTTGAATTTGAATCAGGGTATTGTTCTTACGATTTAGTGGCCATTATATGACACAGATTTGCCAGTTTTATTATTTTTTTTTATTAGATAAATAGCGCTTTTAATGTTGTCAAACATGATTCGTGTCATAATTTCAACCATGGTTAATGGTAGGAAGTATTTATTGAACTTAAACATAGATTACTTCAATCCATTAAAACAAGACACTTGAGGCATCAAGGCAGGCCAAAAGGAATACGTTCGCTGAAACATAAAATTATTTAAATACCTTTCCGTAGAATCACCAGACATCAAATTTTTAGTAACATTTGAGTATCAAAATGGGTGACCAGATTTAATCTTTTACATACAAATAGTTACGCAAAAAATATAACTCAGTACTCACTGCAGTGAGTGACAGAGAGCGCATTCTCTCGTTGACGAAAACTTGAGGTCACGGACGGACGAACAGACAGACGGACATGACGAGCACAATAGTGCATTTTCCCATAAATGAGAAAATTCGCTAAAAAGTAGTAAGTCAGGATTATAACAAAATTGTTATTTTGTCAATACGATAGGAGACATTAACTGGCATGACCACCTAACGTTTCATATTATTCGTTCATGAATGCGAGAACTGCTGAACTATGATAACTAATACAATGTTTAATATTCATAACGGGACTTTCCCCTGAGTACTGCAATATGTTGCGTGTAATAAATTGGGACAGTATTAGATTTTGATGAATTACGTGTGCTACAATATTAGATGATACTTACTATTTATTTAATTAGAGGTAACAGTGAATTATTATGTGCAATGCTGATCTCACAAGCAATCAACAATTGAACTTAATAAATAATTTATGTAATTCGAACAGCAGAATTTCAGTAAAATTTTCAGCCTGATTAAACTATTTGAATTAACAACCGTTTCGATAAAGGATACACTCAATAAGTGCCCATTTTTCTCAATAATTTGCACTGCTGTAGTACTGGGTGATAATTAAAGATAAAATTTTGGATTGCATCATGGGAAAATAAATAGCATCTGAATTATACTAATAGGCTCTTGTGAAAAGAGACTCTAAAATTCTGTGCAGTCCGACCGTGCACATGCTGGGAATTAAAGTGTGCAAATGTGCATCCAACACTCCGTAGAGTTTTTCAGCTTTACCCAGCTAGTCTGATTACAGCCCAACTTCTCTCATTATGGGCGCATTTGCAAAACTCATTGATGAAAAATGGTAGGCAATGATACACAAAAGGTACCTTGAAGCC